AGGGGGCAGAGACCATGAAATTCACAATTTTTGTTCCCCTTCACCCATAGATACTTTGTGCCAAAATTGGTTAAAATTGGTTGAGCAGTTCCAGAGAAGAAGCTGAAAATGTTAATAACACACGACTGACGATGGACGACGGACGAAAACGGATAGCAATAACAAGAGGCCCATGGGCCACATCACTCACCTGAGAAGCTTTGACCATTCTGTTCTTCACCAGATTTCCCCCTTGCTATACATAATGCATCCCCATCCTACCCCACTGATCATAATTTAGACATTTTGAAATCAACACTACCCCATGATCCTTCCATGGGCACATATGTTTCAGCTTTTTTGGCCCAGTGGTTCCTGAGAAGAAGATTTGCAAAGATTTTTCCTATATATTTTTATGTAAAACTTTGATTCCCTATAATGGCCCACCCTTCCCCCGGGGGTCATGATTCCTACAATTTAGCAATTTACACTAGCCCAGAATGCTTCCACATAAGCTTCACTTTTTCTATCCCAGTGGTTCTTGATAGGAAGATTTTCTATATATTTCTATGTAAAACTTTGATTCCCCATTGTGGCCCCAATCTTCCCCCGGGGGTCATGATTTGAACAATTTAGAATCTACACTACATTGGCGGATCCAGAGGGGGGTTCCGGGGGTTGACCAATTAAAGTACATAAAGTAGCAAAGTAAAACCATATTTCTCATATAGTGAAAAAATTCACTTTAAATTTTTAGTTTTTATGAAGGAAAAAAATATTTGAGGCTATTATTATTGTAAGGGGGGGGGGGGGGATTCGAGGGTCACAACCTCCCCTTTCAAAAATTGCTGGATCCGCCCCTGCACTATACCAGGATGCTTCTACATTAGTTTCAGCTTTTTTGGCCAAGTGGTTCTTGAGAAGAAGATTTTCAAAGATTTTTACTATATATTTCTATATAAAACTTTGATTCCCCATTGTGGCCCCGCCCTTCCCCCGGGGGTCATTATTTGAACAATTTAGAATCTACATTATACCAGGATGCTTCCACGTAAGTTTCAGCTTTTCTGGCCCAGTGGTTCTTGAGAAGAAGATTTTCAAAGATTTTTACTATATATTTCTTCATATAAAACTTTGATTCCCCATTGTGGCCCTGCCCTTCCCCCTGGGGTCATTATTTGAACAATTTAGAATCAACATTATACCAGGATGCTTCCACATAAGTTTCAGCTTTTCTAGCCCAGTGGTTCTTGAGAAGAAGATTTTCAAAGATTTTACTATATATTTCTATATAAAACTTTGATTCCCCATTGTGGCCCTGCCCTTCCCCCAGGGGTCATTATTTGAACAATTTTGAATCAACATTATACCAGGATGCTTCCACATAAGTTTCAGCTTTTCTGGCCCAGTGGTTCTTGAGAGAAGATTTTCAAAGATTTTTCCTATATATTTCTATATAAAACTTTGATTCCCCATTGTGGCCCCGCCCCTCCCCCGGGGGTCATTATTTGAACAATTTAGAATCTACACTTTACCAGGATGCTTCCACATAAGTTTCAGCTTTTCTGGCCCAGTGGTTCTTGAGAAGAAGATTTTTTAATGACCCAACCCTATTTTTGTCTTTTCTTGATTATCTCCCCTTGCGAGGGGATTTGTCCCTTCATTTTGACAATTTAAATTCCCCTTCACCCAAGGATGCTTTGTACCAAGTTTGGTCAAAATTGGCCCAGTGGTTGTTGAGAAGAAGTCGAAAATGTGAAAAGTTTACAGACGGATAGACAGACGGACGGACAGACAGACAGACGGACGGACGACGGACAAAATGTGATCAGAAAAGCTCACTTGAGCCTTCAGCTCAGGTGAGCTAAAAACCTGTAGAATGCAGAAAAATATTTTGATTATAGTGATAACTAGAAGCATTTGGAGGGCACATGCACCTTCATTTGGGTAATACTGTGAAATCACAAATTTTCGTTGGGGTCTAATTTTCGTTGTTTTCGAGGTATGAAGAGACCCACAAATTTATGTCCACCACGAAATGTAAAATGTTACATACATCACTACTAAACAGTTCTTCATCCACGAAATCAAATCCCCACGAACCAAAGGTTTTTCCTCAAACCACGAAAATTTGACCCCAGGAAAATATGTGATTTTACAGTAATATATGTACAAGTTATCAGACTAATCCTTGCAATAATTTCTGAGAAGTGGTCTGGACAGACAAATGGGCAGACAGACAGACATTTCGATTCCAATATACCTGCCCCATGCTTGGTCTGCAGGGGGTATTAAAAGTTTACAGACAGACAACAGGTGAACAGACAAGAGGCCCACAGGCCTTATAGGTCACCTGAGCATTATGTAACAACTTTTCAACAATTGAATTGGTTGGTGTTTTAAATCAAAGGACATGAAATTCAAAATTTTGAAAGAGGCACCATTGCTGATCATAAATATACACTTAGCTTGCTTACTTTGGTTACTTAATACCCAGATATAGATCATTGTAACAAACAGAAAATAGTCATTTCCACTTTAATACCAGTTGTGCACCCCACCCCACAAGAACCAGACCCTGGGGGTATATATCACAGAAAAATATGAAGTTGACATCAGATTCATATAAAAATTAATCCCACCATATGGCATGCCCCAACAAAGAGTGTACTAAAATTTAAAGCATCTGCTATGAATAGCTAATGAGAAAACTGCAACGAAGATTTGTTATGTATGAAACGGACAGACGCACAAACAAACAGGAAGTTGACATCGGATTTAAACAAAATTGCATCACAATGTATAGCATCCCTAACAAACAAATACTATAGTTAACTATAGTTAACTATAGTTTACTATAGTTAACATTAGTTAACTATAGTAAATCAAAGTGTCAAAGTTTTCGACAAAGTTTTTCAAAGTGTCAAAGTTTTTCAAAGTGTCAAAATTTTCGCCAAAGTTTTTCATAGTGTCAAAGTTTTCGCCAAAGTTTTTCAAAGTGTCAAAGTTTTCGCCAAAGTTTTTCAAAGTGTCAAAGTTTTCGCCAAAGTTTTTCAAAGTGTCAAAGTTTTTCAAAGTGTCAAAGTTTTCGTCAAAGTTTTTCAAAGTCTCAAAGTTTTCGCCAAAGTTTTTCAAAGTGTCAAAGTTTTCGCCAAAGTTTTTCAAAGTGTCAAAGTTTTCGCCAAAGTTTTTCAAAGTGTCAAAGTTTTCGCCAAAGTTTTTCAAAGTGTCAAAGTTTTCGTCAAAGTTTTTCAAAGTGTCAAAGCTTTCGTCAAAGTTTTTCAAAGTGTCAAAGTTTTCGTCAAAGTTTTTCAAAGTGTCAAAGTTTTTGTCAAAGTTTTTCAAAGTGTCAAAGTTTTCGTCAAAGTTTTTCAAAGTGTCAAGGTTATCACTATAGTAAATCAAAGTTTTCAAAGTGTCAAAGTTATAACTATAGTTAACTATAGTTAAAGTTAAGTTAACTATAGTATTTTTTTGTTAAGGATGCTTAGAAATCATTGTTTTAAAATTTCAAGCATCTAATTTCAAGCAACTGTGATAAGTAGTTGCTGAGAAAACTGCGGCGAAATTTTATATGTATGAAACGGACTGACGCACAAACGGAAAGTTGACATTGGATTTAAACAAAAATGTATTACAATGTATGGCATGCCTCAGAGAAGATTGTGATAAATATCAAGCATCTGCAATGAGTAGTTGCTGAGAAAACTGCGACAAAAATTGTTATATATGAAACGGACTGACGCACAGACAAACAGGAAGTTGACATCTGATTTGATCAAAAATGTATTACCATTTGGCATGCCTCAGAGAAGATTGTCTTAAAATTTCAAGCATCTACGATGAGTAGTTGCTGAGAAAACTGCGACGAAAATTTGTTATGTATGAAATGGACTGATGCACAGAAGAACAGGAAGTTGACATCGGATTTGAGTAAAAATGTACCTTACCATATGGCATGCCTCAAAGAAGATTGTGTTAAAATTTCAAGCATCTGCAATTGATGCCTCAGAGAAGACTGTGTTAAAATTTCAAGCATCTACGATGAGTAGTTGTTGAGAAAACTGCGACGAAATTTATGTATGAAACAGACAGACGCACAGACAAACAGGAAGTTGAGGATTTTTCCTATATATTCCTAAGTAAAAGTTTGATCAGCCATATTGGCCACACCCTACCCCCGGGGGTCATAATTTGAACAAACTTGAATCTACACTACCTGATGATGCTTCCACATGAGTTTCATTTTTCCTGGCCCAGTGGTTCTTGAGAAGAAGATTTTAAAAAAAAAATTCCCTATATATTCCTATGTAAAACATTGATCGGCCATTGTGGCTCCACCCTACTCCCCGGGAGTCATGATTTGAACAAACTTGAATCTACACTACCTGAGGATGCTCCCACATGAGTTTCATCTTTCCTGGCCCAGTGGTTCTTGAGAAAAAATTTTTTTTAAATGCCATTTTTTCACTTATTCACAATTATTTCCCCTGGAAGAGGGTGTGGCCCTTCACTTGAATCCCCTTAACCTAAGGATACTTTGTGTAAAGTTTGGTTGAAATTGGCCTAGTGGTTCTTGAGAAGAAGTCGAAAATGTGAAAAGTTAACGACGATAGCGACAACGCCGACGACGACAACAGACAACGGACAAATTTTAATCAGAAAAGCTCACTTGAGCCTTCGGGTCAGTTGAGCTCAAAAGGAATGGGATTGATTTCAATGGAATCTGATTTTACCAAAAAAATTATTATAAGAACACTCTTAAAATTTAAAGAGCTATTTAAATGATATAAGAAATAATTCTTGATCAAATGTTTTTGTCGTAAAAGGCGACTAAATGGGGCGGTCCTTTGGATGAGACCGTATAAAACCGAGGCCCCGTGTCACAGCAGGTGTGTCACGATAAAGATCCCTTCCTGCTCAAAGGCCGTAAGTGCCGAGCATAGGCCTAAATTTGCAGCCCTTCACCGGCAATGTTGACGTCAGTGAAATATTCTGGAGAGGGACGTTAAACAGTATACAATCAATCAATCTATCCATTAACAAAAGTTATTTCCAGTGGTGACACAATGATTACTATGCCAAGTTTCATCTGCCTCCTTTTGACTGCGGCGGTTTTAGTTGATATGGCCGAGGCATCCAAGCCTTGTAAAGGTAAATAACTAATGTATTTTTTTAAACGGTAGAATGAAGCATGGTTTCTTATATTGACTAGAGTTTAACATATTTTAAACAACCGAAACTCCTTTATAATAGTATGGTGTTCATCTGCATACGGTGAAGTCATTTGAAGCTAATTAATTCTAATCTGTACAATATACAAAATTGTATTCCGTGTTTGATATGTTTTTCTCCAAATAATAATAGTGTTATAATACATAATTATATTAAACTGTATGTTTCGGTGTGGGTGAGGGTGTGTGTGTGATTCAAGTACTCGATAAAGCCATATTTCAGGAGAGTGGGAACTTATCTTTCATGCGTCGAGTGGAAACGGACAAAACGTTTACAGGACTTGGAAGACAAAATACAATAAATGTGACATATTCAACCAAGTCTGCCCGTGTCCCATTCATAAGGGATGCCTTCCTTCAAACTTCCAACCTGAAAAATACACTAATCCCCCTAGAAAAATTTTGAGAAGTCCATTTATCGATTTCTGGAGTTGTCTCAATATTCGAAAGGTAATGATATTTTTGTAATTAATAATATGTATTTGTATCCAAAACTTATTTTAGTGCACTACATTATAAAAAGTATAACTCAGCTTGGAATGAAACGGTTTATTTTCTAGTCAAAGAAATCTTACAAGTGAAGTTACTTTATTTCATCAAAATGATAAAATTGTACCTTTTAAAGAAATATATTATGATATACTTTTTACCTTGTGATTTGCAATAATCAGCAATACTAAAGTAAACAAAATCTACAAACAGGTTTTTTCCTTGGTCCAGTTTTAATTAACCATTCAATTGTAACTTTCTGGAGATACTGTAGTATGTTTTTTCTCTGAAGCCTGTTTTAGATTTAACTATAAAAATTCCGTAAGCATTTTGCCACTTTCTTTGATAATTTTTGGTACGATAAAAATAGATCTTTCATTATATGGATATTATACTGGAGTAACCCAATTTTTGTCTGTGCTTGGGGAAATAGGCTTGATTTTCTTTCAAAGCTATAATCTTGCTGATTACCTAACTGTTATACTTTAACGTATCGGAAGATTTCAATAAAACCGAAAGCTTGCAAAACGAATACGTTATTCGGTCCTTACCTGTCTTGTATAATATTCGAATGACATATTTTTACCAACTCTCGGTAATTAAAAAAAATTTAATTTGACAATCATCTAAACAATTTTTTTCCTTAAGAAATCTGAGATAAAGTTTGTGATAGGTTTAACGTCCCTGTCAGGAAGATTTCACTCCAATGGAGACGCCACCACTTGCCGGTAGAGAGCTGCAAATTTTGTCCTATGCTCGACACTTAAAGGCCACTGAGCAGTGAGGGATCATTTTTGTGCCAGCACCTACATGTATTGCGACTCGGCATATCTGCAATTTCATCCTATGGACTTGCCTCCACCTATAGTGTCGATACTGTATTAAATCTTCAGACTTTTATCCATGTATATGAAAAAAATGATCATATTGAACACCTCGATTATTTTGTAGCAACTATTACTGTCTATAAGGGGAAGAGGAAAAAGAACCCCATGGGCCACATCGCTCATCTGAGTAACTTAGGATATGCTGCTCTTTACCAGATTTCCAACTTGTAATATCTATTGTGGCCCCACCTACCCACGGGTGTCATGATTTTAACAATTTAGAATCTACACTATCCCAGGTACTTCCACATAAGTTTCATCTTTTCTGGCCCAGTGGTTCCTTGGAGGTTTAATGAACACACCCTATTTTTGTCTTTTCTTTATTTTCTCCCTTTCATTTTAACATTTTAAACTCCCCTTTCAAATGGTGCTTTGTATTAGCCCAGTGGTTCTTGAAAAGAAGTTAAAAATGTGAAAAGTTTACAGACGGACGACGGAAAAAAGGTGATCAGAAAAGCTCACTTGAGCTTTCAGCTCAGGTTACCAAAAAATGTCATTGAATTTTTTTTTTCAAATTTTGTTAAATTTATACACAAATGCAAGTAACTATATACCATTTCCATCTTGCATAAAGAGTTGGTCTCCTAGTCCATTCAATGTACGCAATAGCTTACTCTACATTCCAACAGTGACCCGCGTGGCGCAGTGGTTGGAGCGTCTGCTCTACAGCCGCGGAGTAAGGAGTTGATCCATAGGTTGTAGGTTCGAATCTAATCGACTGTGGGACGTAGGGACCTGTCCTTCTTATGAGACCGTACAAAGCGGTTACTCGTGTTGCAGTATGTATGTATTTGCACTAAAAAAATCCCTCACTTCTTAATGGCTCTGAGTGCCGAGTATTGGTATTTTTCATATATTGAAGGTATGCCTTTGCAATAAAACGATTAATTATAACTGGTTTATTAATTTGTAAATGAACCTGCATACCAATATACGACAATATCACTTGGCCAGAGAATTAATGTACGGATAAGATCGTAAAATAGGAATTGCATCCAGAATAACGACCTTTTATACAGGCCCCTGTCTGGAAATAATATTTTATTTGATTACAAAAGAAATTTTTCATTGTACAAAATATAACTTGGTCAGCCTTTTACTGCGTACAGACTGTGTCAACTTTTACGATTTGACGTCAAACTGACAAGTGAATTGGGATTATTTATAACTCGCTGGTTGGAGTTCAACAAACCAAAAAAACTGCATGTAAGAATAAGTCTTGATGTTGTCTAGAGCTATCCAACAGATCAAAATTGCAAATTTCAGTTTGATATAATTTGAAGACCTGATAGTTTTGTGTGACATCATAGTGAACGTTTCCCGTATAAATTAGGCCCCGCCGCCATACTGTAGGCTTAACTGTGCTCACTCTCTACCATCGGCTCATACATTCACCTCTGTCGTCGAGCTTGATTACAGTTTTTTTATATCCATTTTTCATTGGAAAGGTAAGGTTTGAGCTAAACACTCGAGGGAAAACAGTGGCATTTATCGAATTTGATGGAAAAGGCTCAAATTACTTGAATTGGTTTGACAACGGGAGGATTTTGAAAACAAGTTGGACAGACATGCACAAAGGGGGAAGCTACAACATCTTTTCAATTGACAAGTAGGTATTCAAATCTAATATTTCATCTATAAATAAATGCAGAAATTTAAAATGTGTATCTTAAAAAGTCTTTTCCTCGTTTAAAGATAAAATATCCTTTTTTCTTTTTAGAGCGACCAGCTATAGTAGAAGTTTCTATATTAACAAGAGACATGGGGGCTGCAATAGTGATAAAGGCTGGTTTGTTGTGTCTGAAGTACCCGGAACTAAACATTGTGGGTGGGAGAAACGGAAACCATACCCCCAGTTCCTGTATAGCAAAAATGGGAAAGTGATGAGATGGAATCAGAGGAGTAAGTTAATGAATCTCAAACGCTTTGTATTCTCTCAGTGTCATTTTGTAATAAGGCCACTTATGACATTCATGAAGGTTTTGTACAAAGAGACAAGTAATAAAACTCCATTTTATATACTGAAGCAATGACTGTATTAATTGTGCAATTAAATTTTACATTGACAATTTTTTAATAAGGCATAATTTTTTAGCTAACCTGAGCCGAAGGCTCAAGTGAGCTTTTTTGATCACATTTTGTCCGGCGTCTGTCTGTCTGTCTGTAAACTTTTCACATTTTCGACTTCTCAAAACTTTTTGGAAGTGTAAAAACAATGTATAAACTTTTTACAAACGTTCATGTTTACAAAATTTTAGAATATCTACAAGAAACGGATTATTATAGTAAAATTTGAATAAAATTTTGAAAGTAATTTTAATGAGAAATACATTAACATATATGAATTTATTTTATCAACAGTTTATAAAGTATTTTTAAGTTTATATATTTTTAAAAATATTTAAGTCCGTCGGACGGGACGTTAAATGGTGCCCCGTGTCAAGGATGACAACCCCCTTGGCAGGCAAAAGATCGTTAAATTCTCTGGAGTTCGAAAAAGAGTAGGCTCATTGGGGGCCGCCAGAGAAACCAAAAACTTAACTGACCCATTAACTTAATAGTCCGCCGAAATATGGCTGAAAAATTGCCAGGAGTTGCGGATAAGAGATGGGTACCCTAAAGCGTAACAGACGGACGGATGTACATACCGATTACTCTATACCCTCCCACTTTTCAAGCGGGGGGGGGGGGATAAAAAATTTTAAATTCAAGACATGTAGCTCTTTATTTCGTACCGGTAAGATTTGCTGTTTTTAGGGTAGAAAGGTCATTCTATTAGCAAGAAAATTCTCAAACTTTATCATCTGGAATCACATTGTGTGCTTTTGGTGAGAAGAGTTGTATAATTATGCAATTTAAAAGCGCCTGCAGATTCCTTGTGATTCCTATCACTTACAAGCTTTGGTACAAATAGGCCAATGCCATTCTTGACTTTGATCTAGTCAAAACTTCTCTTGACAACAAAATTTTCTTGAACAGTCCAAAAACTTTATAAGACAACATGATCCACACTTCTTTGTTACGGTAGTGTAAGGTTGTATCAAGAATCGAGGGGGATTGAAACCAAACATTTTCTTCTTTCAGATTTTGTAAAATTCATTTTTTTAAAAAATTTATATACACTGTTCAATGCAAAATTATCCGTTCACAACATAAAATATTTTGAGAATGCAGTTGAATTTTTGACTGAGAACAACAAAATGCAAATGTAGGGACACAGAATCAGAGCTGGACAATCAAGAAAATTTATGGTTTATGTATTTATCTGATAATTTTTAATAAATATGTTTATATTTGGATATTATACTATATTCAGATTTATATGAGGTAACAATTATTAGCCCTCTGGTCATGGTCCATCATTTTAAAAATCATACTAAGTTAGTTGCACTAGACCTTCCACATGAACATAAACATTATTTTTTTTTTTACACTGGACTATAAAAAATAGATTAAGAATTTTCAACAACTGATATGATTTAGCAACTCTCGAACTACAATGTTCACTCACCTTAATGCTGGGGAAAACTGCTCTTGGGGTAGCTTAATTATCATATTGTCCTAAAACAGAAATAAGTGTATGATATTATTAACTTTTTATATGAAGAAGCATGGAGAGACAGATAATAGGTAAAATGTCCTCGGAACTGTCGTCAAAAATTTATCTATAATAGAAGTAATTAAACAAAAAATTCGTGTTATAAAAATCCTAGGCTAAGTCATTAACGAAAATATTCTCCAACTTTCATTTCATATTTGAAAATTATTTCTAATAAAAAAGAAACAAACTGTAATTTATTTTCTGCAAAACGAATCAGGATTAAGCAGTTTGGGTATTTTACGAAATTCGAGTGTATAAGACGTCATTTGAATTGCCATTTTGAGCTAATTAACACATTTAAATTTAAACGACTAAATTTTCCGATTAAAAATGATCAAATTAGTGTTCTATTTTCATTTGATATAGTTGTACTATGCTCAGTAAGATAATCACAAATTCTTTATCCTATGTAAACAACATTAAGAAACAAGAGGCCCACGGGCTTATAGGTCACCTGAGCATTATGCAACAACTTTCCAGTTATTGAATTTGACTCATGTTTTAAGTAAGATGCTATATGGCATTCACAATTTTGAAAGAGGCACCATTGATCATCATAACAATACATTTAGCAGTTGCTTAGCTTGGTTACTGAATACCCATACGCAGGGTAGGGGAACAAAAATGCATTCCAACTAATCAGTAATATTCAGCAATAATCAGTAGTGCCCCTAACACTGTGACATAAACCCCTGACCCTAGGTCCACACATTGCACAAATTTTAAAAAGGCACTTGAAATTCACAATTCTGGAAGATTAGGGCCCTTGCTCATCATAACTATATAGGTAGTTCATCTGCTTCATACCCAGAGACAGAGAAGAAAATTTTCAAAGATTTAATGTATTTTCACTATATAATAAAAGCCCCGCCCTAACACCAGAACCCCTGACCCTGGGGCCATAAAAATTTATAATTTCAAAGAAGCATTCTTGCTATCATAACTATGTACTTAGTTAATTTAATTTCTAGGAGCAGAGAAGAAGATTTTCAAAGAATTCATGTTTTTAATATATAATCAAACAAGCCCTGCCCTAATACCAGAATCCCTGACCCTGGGACCATAAAATTCACAATTTTGAAAGAGGCACTCTTGCTCATCATAACTATGTACTTAGTTTATTTAATACCCAGGAGCAGAGAAGAAGATTTTTGAAGAATTAATGCATTTTCACTATGTAATCAACAGAGCCCACCCTAACACCACAACCCCTGACCCTGGGGCCATAAAATTCGCAATTTTGGTTGGGGACTCTTGCTCATCATAACTATGCCTTAGTTAGTTTACTTAATACCTAGGAGCAAAAAGAAGAAGATTTTCAAAGAATTCATGTATTTTCACTATATCATCAATAGAGCCCCCCCCCCCCCCAAAACCAGAACCCTTGACCCTGGGGCCATAAAATTCATAATTTTGGTTTAATCTTCTTATCATAACTATGCACTTAGTTAGTTTTTTAATACCTAGGAGCAGAGAATAAGATTTTCAAAAAAATAATGCATTTTCACTATATACTTATTTTGTCCCACCCTAGCACTGAACCCCCGACCCCAGGGCCATGAATTTCACAATTTTTTGGGCTCAATGTGATTACAATCATGCAAATAGTTTGACTGCCTGAGGAAGATTTTTAAAGATTGCATTAATTTTAGTAGTTTTGGCCCCACCCCTCAGGCCCCAGGGGGGCAGGGATCATGGAATTCACAATTTCTGTTCCCCTTTACTGATAGATGCTTTGTGCCAAATTTGGTTGAAATTGGTTCAGTGGTTGCAGAAAAAGAAGCTGAAAATGTTCAAATGTTAACGCACGACGGACGACGCATGACGTACGACGACGGACGAAAACGGATAAAATAGGTCACCTGAGTTTACTCAGGTGACCAGTACTAGCTAATAATTTAAAAAAGAAATGAATATCCTCCATTTTGAATCGCCATTTTGACTTTTAACTTACAGCTGCACCATCATTCAGTTGTAGAATAGTGAGATGTAGTGGAAAAATACAAATCTGCAGTGTATGGATATTTGAAATGTAAAATCCTGAACAAAGCAGAATGTAGAACAATAGAAAAAAAATCAAAAAAATTTGAATTAAGAGTAGAAACGACTAAATTTTCAATTTTCAGTGTTAAACAAATGATGTTAGCATTCTATTATCATTTTTATACTTGTATTAAACTCAGGGAGATATTCACACAGTATTTCTCCTTTTTGAACGATATTAAGAGAAAATTAGAAAAATTTGATGTCCGCCATTTTGAATCGCCATTTTGACCCTTTCACGCCATTTTCATGAAGGCCAGCATATTTTTTTGGATTCAGCATACTCGAATTAGGTAAAAAAACTATGCTGGACCAAATAATAATTATTTGCCGTTAGAAGTTATTTCTAGCCTTCTTTTTTAAAATAGGACCAGACTAGGGTAGGAACCATGAAATTCACAATTTTGTTCCCCTTTTTCCATAGATGCTTTGTGCCAAAATTGATTGACATTGTTTAAATGGTTGCAAAGAAGAAGCTGAAAATGTTCAACTGTTAACAAACAACACATGACGCACAACGACGGACTACAACAGATAGCAATAGGTCACCTGAGTTTACCTAGGTGACCTAAAATAAAAGAAAATTTGTGGATGGATGAAGAACAGAGTGATTACTATAGGCACCTGCAAATCCTTGCAGAGTCAATATTAAAAGTCAATACCACTGGATACTTGAACAATTTTCAAATAAATTGAAAAATTTTTGGATAATGTGCTGAATAAGGTATCCAGAATATTTTCAGGAATCACTTGAAGTCTTCACTTAAGACATTAAAGAAACAAGAGGCCCATGGGCAACATCACTCACCTGAGCACTTTGGCTAAGAAGAAAGAAGAAATTGGTTTATTATTGAAAAGTTTAAACCCAAAAGTAGTTCCAACCTTTCCCTTTAAAAGGGGAGGGGTATGATTTGCATGAACTTGAATCTATACTACATGAGAATGCTTCCATATCAATATGACCAATCATGGCTTTGTTATTCTTTAGAACATTTTAAAAGAATTTTCCTATACATTTCTATGTAAAACTTTGGTTGGCCATTGTGGCCCCGCCCTACCCCCGGGGGTATAATTTTAGCAAACTTGAATCTTTCTACCTGTGGATGTTCTATATAAATATGATCAGTAATGGCTTTATTATTCTTGGGAAAAAGATTTTTAAAGAATTTTTTATAACATAATTATAATTTTATTTCCCAGACCTAATCTACAACAACATATCAACTATCATCACTAGAAAAAAAAAAAATTAAGGCAGCTGCCAGGGATGGGGCCCACTAAGCTCCTTCTAAACAATGATAATTATGTCCTATGACATCAGGCAGGATGTTATAAATTATACAGAAAAATTTAGAGTACAATTATTTTCAAAAAATATATTTATACAGTATACATCAT